ATTTGCAACTCGTTATTAGAGAACAATCAGTAGACTAATAATCCACGAAATTCTTCTTTCATTGCATTGTTAGACATGAATCGATACAGACCACAAAATAAACTTACAGGTGACATAATGAAGAATAATTCTCCATTATGCAATTATATAAACAATAACATGTTCCCATACCTCATATTACGCCATAAATGACAAAAGATACAAAATATATCAATGGAAGGTATTAATGAGTCACGTACAAGTAATGAAACGGAAAATTGAAAAAATGCGCTGTTTTGCGCGAGAGAGATGTCGCTTTTTGGATTTATCACTTGTTGGATGTTTTCCAATATGCACTTGAGATGAAGACTTCGACGCGCACTTACGGCCATGTTGTCCCGCACCGTTTCTTTGACTGTTTCTTACAGCGACGTAGGCTTTGATGGCAACAGCAAAACGCGCTATCTTCAAGTCAATTACTTCAATATTTTCTGGTAACACATTGGAATGATCGCCCTCATACCAAATAATGGATTCTTGAGCAATTTGAATTGAGCCGTTTGTCGCCCTGAGGAATCCATTCGTCCTGCTTGCTTCTAATTAGTGGTGCCTTGATGCAAGTAGCTGCTTCACGGGGTTATTATGAATGCAGGCATAATTAATCTTAGAACAATGATAATGAAAGTCACGAGAAAACAGTATTTTTCATACAAAGCAGGTTCTTGTTGTAAAGTATGCTTCACAATTTCATTGAAAGGCATTCATTACAATGTTCACTATATGCAGACATAACAAACTGTATTGGAAAATTAGCAGTTCAATTTATTCAGAAGAATTTTCTAACAGATATAAAAATAAGTATATACGGAGTTCGTAGACATATCTCTTTTGAAAATGTACAAGATTTGGCAAACATTAATCATGCTAAAACTTATTTTTTAATGTAGTAAGGGAAACATAAATTTATGGTTTTATACAATGTTGAACATCAAAAAACACCATTTATAGTACGTTGGAGTAACATAGTATTGTTTTTAAAACCTTATAAAAATAAAATTATACGGCACACATGAATACTGATTATACATTTTACAATATTACGCAATGTTATTTTTAGCTTTATAAACGAATACTCATTTATTTACTTTAAAATTAATTGAGATAATTTAAAAAAAATTAAATATTTTCGCTACATTTACGATTACTAATTTTCTGCTTTTCAAGAGAAGTGTGTGAAGCCGTGACTCTTCTAAAGATATCACTTAAATGGCATTCTTCATGAAAGCGATTTTTGTTTCACAGTAGTTTCTACAAAATGTTCTTCGGAAGTATTTATTTACCAGTAACCATTTCCCCTCGTACTTACTGACCGACCATGTGGAGCGTAAACGATCTCTTAGAGCGGACATGAAATTATTTAGAGTAACCATTCACTGCTTTCGTACTTTAACAGATCTGATAAATAAAAGAGAGAATGAAATAAACTGTTTTCCGTTTGCAATGTAAAATTAAATTCATGAATTAAAAAACTTACGCTTCAGAAACACTTCCTATCTACAAAACCGTAATTTTACAGGAGACGCTCAAACGTTGATTCATTTGATTGCATAATTAAAATATAGTATCCTTGTTTTATTTTTATTTACATTTTTCAATGTGAAAAGACAATTCAATGTGACTGCAATTCATTGTTTTGCAGGTGCACTCCGATTATAGAATTCGGCAATGCCGCCCTAGCAGAGCTTTTCGAGCTTTTAATAAATCAAATGAATCGCTAATACTTCGATTTATTCAGGAAAAAATGACCACTTCTAAATTTTCCCCAATTCAATTTGTTCAAAATTTTCTCGAAATATTGGAGCTTTTGAAGCCCTGATAGTATTACAAACTAGATTGAAAATTACAGTGGGAAGGGGGAACGCAGGGCGGTCAAAGCACAGGATTTGAAGGATTTATAGAATCCGAATGAAAAAAAAAATCCCCCAAGATTCCACTTTTGGAAAATCGAAGCTACCAGAAATTTACTCGTACCAATATTGCGTCATTAGAACCGTTAAAAAATAACAGATTTCTACTTTAGAGGAATCTATTAGGAATAATTTTAAAAATATTTCTCATAACCGTTTTCGATGTTTTTTTCGATTAAAGTAAAATACGGGGTTAAAATCGCGCAGGTCCCATTTTCAGTGAAATCTGAATTTTTGAAAACTAGAAGTATTAACATTGCCAGACAACAGTATTAATGATAGATTTTTTCCCATAATAATATCTGTTCTAAAAATTAGATCTTTAAATATAGTGAACAATTTTTTGAAACGTAAATTGCAAATTCGAATTTCTCGCGATTTTCTGAAGAAAGAGTCTCACAAGGTATCATGACGCAAAACGACAAAATCAATGCCGCAATATGGCAGTTTGAAAATCAGAGAATACTGATTATTGGGTGATAACGTTTAACACCGTTTGGAATGCTGTATGCAGTATTTGATTGTTGAATTTGTGATAATGTATTTGGTTTAAATGAATAAATTTCGTACAAAAGTTTGTTTTGTTTCCCAGACATAAATGTTAACTGATAAAAGGTTATAGATGTGTAATATTATTTTTATGCTCTCACAAGACGATGAATTGGATGGCTCTAGATGTTTAATTTATGGACTTGTTTCACTCTAAAAATATTTGATCTCTGATTATAGCATAATCTTAAAAAAACTGGAAGCTAACTTCGCTATAATCAGGACTAGCGTTATACAGACCATGGTGGAAAGGTCTTTCCTCCGTGATAAAAAAACAAGCATTGCCCTTGATTCTCTGTATAATGTGCTGTGAATACTGTAACAGATTTATTCTTTTTTGGAAGTAAGAAACGACTACTGTTTCTGGCTGACTAAATAATTGCAGATTCACACCGAAGGTGCTTCTTTTGAATCAGTTTGCACTTTTTTCAGTGGTGCATGAATTTTAAGTAGGGCATTGCAATATTATAATATTACGAAACCACGCGTAGGATTGTGAGAAAGTGTGTGCTGTTGTATCACCACTTATTTATTTATAGCTCTCTTTCCCTTATGTGATATTTTTCATGAAACTTATGAAAAATATCAAAAATTATTATGAAAAATTACTTATCCTCCACCTACCTCACGTCGTTAATCACATAGCTACTTACCGTTGAATCAACATACGACAGTGGTTCATAAATTTTAATTTTAATGACAACTTGTCCGCTATGATAAAAGATCGGCAACTTTTGTCCGACAATATTACACAATTAAATACTCGACTTAGACGCAATCAAGGATACGTAACAGAACATTGTGAAACTAGACATAAATGCCAGTTTTATTATGTTTTTAAAGCAAATAGTATAATTGTATTATTGTAAAACCGTAAGATAATTTGTATTGATCGGTAATTTTAAAAAATTGCATGGAATTGTTTTCATTTGCACTATATTGCAAGAAATCAGTAAGAATTAAAGAAGCTGAGAATTAACGGGCCTTGGCCGACCAGCGGTGGCCCAGGCTCTCGGCCACGGGGTAAGGGGTTTGTGTGGTTAGCACGAAGACCCTTCCACCGCATACAATGGTCTTCATAACGTTAGGGTGGGCTTTCTCATCGTCACACAGATACTGGGACATTTGTAAGGAAAGTGCAAAGTTATAATTTTACCCCGATCGGGAATCGAATCTAGGATCGCACTCCGAAAAGCTTGCACTCTCTCCATGAGCCACCCGAGAATACTTAAAAAATGTGATTATCGAATTCAGTCAGAGCGGCAACTTGGTGTAGATGTTACCTTAGTGTAGGCGTATAGCGAGTTAACTGGGAGGACCCAAGTTGGAGTCTGTGTGCGGGGGAAAAATGTTGCTGATTGAAAACACTTTTGCAGATTCATGTACTAGTATATATTGTATTAGTAGTAGTAGTAGTAGTAGTTCATATAGTAGTCCGTGTAAAGCATATATGCAATGGAATAAGTGTGTCTGCCCCTCCGAGTGACGAGTGCTGCTGGTGAACAACAAAAATTGCAATCAGTGCGTGGAAAACCAACTACGTGTGCATTTGAGTAAGTGACAGCAAGAGTCTTGGCAAGTCGAGCTGGCAGACTTTAAAGACCAGATCATTAGTTAGTTAGATCCTGCTTAAAGTTTAAGTTACCAATTTCAAGTTAGTACCTATGTTTCGTGTGTTGGTGTATTTTTTAAAATTTATTTCTTTTTTATTTCTTTGTTAATTTTTACTTATTTATTGATATTTTGTAATTGTTATTATTTTTATTTTGTTTTGCGAATCGGTTATGTTGCGACCACGCGATACGTGCATTCCACCGGGGCACAGACTTGATTATCGGACGGAGTAGGTGCACGTTACTTTTTTATTGGGGAGATTCAGCATTTTAATGCTGATTCCATTTTTATGCCTCAGGGTGTTAGCCCTGGGAGACGGGATGAAATTATGATGATGATGAATGATGAAATACACACACAAACGTACAGAGGCACACGCAATACAACCATACACGGAGCGGGATGTGAACCCGCGTTTTTTTGGACCTAGACCGCTACTGCACTACTGCCTTAGCAATCTCGGCCATCGGATCGGCATTACTGTTATAATAATATTAATGTTAATATTAATAATAATATTGTTATTAAGAAGAAGAAAAACGGATGATGGTGAAGAATTATATTATTATTATTATTATTATTATTATTATTATTATTATTATTATTATTATTATTATTATTACTATTATTATTTTATTTTTCATCTTTTTAATGGTTTTAATTATTTTTATTTAATTTTTATTTTGTATCACCTTCTTCTTCTTCTTCTTCTTCTTCTTCTTCTTTTTCTTCTTCTTTTTATTATTACTGTTATTATCATTTTTCTTCTTTTTATTATTATTGTTATTATTATTTTTCTCTCTTTTTGGGAGCAGTACAAAGATCGTATGCGACCTACCTCTCCCCTGTACCAAGGCCCAGCAATGACGGCGCTCGTGTGTGTGTGCGCAGGTCGCGGGCAGGCGGGCGCGCTGCCGCCCGGGGCCGGCAGCATGCTGATCGCGTGCGCGGGCTGCGACAAGCCCATCCTGGACAAGTTCCTGCTGAACGTGCTGGAGCGCACGTGGCACGCCGACTGCGTGCGCTGCTGCGACTGCCAGGCGCCGCTGGCCGACAAGTGCTTCAGCCGCGAGGGCAAGCTCTTCTGCAGGAACGACTTCTTCCGGTGAGTCCCCTCGCCCTCGCCCTCGCCCTCGCCCTCACCCTCAACTCCGTCAACAAATACTACTTGTGTTAAGTACTAGCAAAATACCCGGCGTTCCCCGGGCTTTAGTAGTATGCAAACCTTGGGACAGAAAAAAAATGGTCAATTTTATTTATCTACGGTGTTTAAGACATTATTTTTAATGTAATTGGTTCGAATATAAATAGAATATTACAATTTTCTTTCATTTTATTTGAAGTTCATTGCTGTAAGATATAAAAATATCTTATGCTATCGCCTCTAACGAACTAACGATCGTTATATGCATGTATGCCTTGACAGTAGTCAAAGCATTTTTATTAAACATTAAACCAAAACAAAACGCTACAAGTTCTGCGTAGTAGGTATAAAACTTTTGACAAAGAAATTTATGAAAAAACATTTACATTATCATATGTCGAATTCAGTTACTGTCTTTTAGAGATTACTAATGGCTGACTGCCCTGATCGGTAGATTTCCTAAGTTTCTGCGATTAGAACCAGACAAAAATTCTAACAAAAGGGCCATGGATGGCGCGCAATTTTTCCTTCTCTTGTTAGTCCTGTTCTCACCCCTTACTTACACGCACTTTCATTCCCATGCACTACGGTATTACACGTGTCGGGAGTCCAGACGGGAGCTTAGGGTCTGTTCTGGCTGGGGCGGTATCTCGCTGATGGAGATACCCACAAGCCGACGTGAATGCCGGCTCTCACCTCTCCATCCAGCGGGGGAGGACACCGCCTCCTGCGCGACAAAAATTCTACTACACTAACGGGACTAATGACTATAGCAGTTGAAGTGCCCGGAATAGTCAGTCAAACATTTTGCAGTTTGCCCCATTCATTTAAAAAAATAATTCACGTTCTCTCAATTAATAGTCTCTTGTCTCAATTACGACTGAATGGTTCCGTAATATCTCATGTATGTGATAACGTTTCCAGACGAAATTTTACAAGTGAAGATTTTCGAAACCGATTTTAGCACAACGTAAGTTACGAGGATTAATCGCTATTTTCTGAAATATAAAATTAATTATTCGTATTTTCGTAGACCGTAGTGCATTGTATGCATATTCTTACATCGCATTCCACAATTAAAATCATTTATTTTATGCTGAACTAACACTATTCATCCTTTAATTAATTTATACTGATAAATATGTATTGAACTAAATGTTAATATCCAAAGAAAATCAATAAATCATATAATGCAGATATTTATGAATTCTCTGTTATGACGAACAAACGGCGTTTCCTGTAAACCAGAGCTCTATTCATTTCGTGTTTGGCGATATTTATCAGCGCGTCAATTAGCGCTCTCGTGGCCTGTGCACAAAACGCGCGCTTCTGCGCTTCGCCGGCGTCCTGTGAGCGCTCAAATTTGCGGGCGACTGCTTCGGGGCAGTTCGTCGGCGCCTGCGCCACTAGAGACTTTCAGGGGACGGCGCGCTATGCTTTAGTTTTTCTCTTTTATTTTTATTTTTTTATTTTTAGTAAGGGTCCCAATGTATGTAATCGACAATCCTGATAAATTGTTCATTCAGACATTTATTTAAAATAACAGGAAGGTAACATCGTTACATTTATTAATTGTGTTAATTTACGTGAAGATCGATTGATGGCTCTGTGTAGCCTCCTCTTCAGGTTTGCTCTCTATCTCGTGACATGAGCATCGTAAGGGTATAGCTGCCGTTTAAAGCCCAACTGTTCTTTAAGTGCACTTCCAACTTGAAGGGTACGTGTTGTAATTATTAGAATGGTAACGCGATAAACGGAGTACGGGTCCTGAGCGCTCACTTACGTATTTCTGGTTAGTTAGTGATATAGTTTTTACTGTTGCACTGAACCATGTATCCCATTCAAAATAGTAATAATTTTTTAAAAAAAGTTTGTCACGTCGTTTTTTTTATTAGTTAGGGTCACAATATTTATTTTCAACAGTCCTGATCAAATCTTCATTTACATGTGCATCTACATTAGCATGTGGGTAACGTTGTTATATTTACTGATATTATTAACCCACGTGTTATTTTAAATGCATATGTAAATGAAGATTTTTATCGGGATTATCGATAGTAAACAGTGGGACTATGATATAAAATGTATTAAGTGACAGTATCACCAGAAACGTAGTTTTGCACACATGACTGTTTTACAGTTTGTCAATGGTACTCTTATTACATTCCGAAATTGTTGGAAGCTGTGACAGTATCTAAGAAATAATAATAGTTCATATATCCTTGGTATGAATGGCTCTTCCATTATACGTGAAGCGAATTCTTTGACGAGTGATGACGATGGTGGTATAATACAAATGGTTATGTAGCATGGTTCGAATAAGAGGAGCGGAATATGGGGCAACCCTGAGAAAACTTGACACGAACTCTCTTTCAGCTCACTAATTTCGTATGGATTCCTCTGAAACTCGACGACAAATCGCTTCGAATCAGAATGATTGTGGAACTTCAGTCTTGAAGCAAAGCCAGTGTTTGCAACGCCGAAGAAAGCAATCGTGGAAACTGCGTGGTTGAGAGGAGAGGGGAGGCGATGGAGAGGCGGGCGGCGAGCGCAGTTCGAGCGCTGCGCTTTGTGCGTCGCCGCCCGGGGCTTCCTAGAAATCGGCCGCGCCGCCGCTGGCGCTACGCGTGGCCGAGAGGGCGGCTGCGGGGGGCGGCGGTTCCCCGAAGCAGCGGTGGGCGATGGGCGGCGGCACTGACCGCGCGCCCGCGTCCGCCGCGACGCCCCCCCCCTCCCCCTCCACTATCTCCGCCTCCGCGCTCGGCCGCGGCAGAGGCCCTCGGCCAGGGAGCGCAGCGTTTGCGCCGCCGCTTACGAGTAGGGATGCGACATGGATGTCGATGTTTTCAAAACATCGATGTTTTAAACAACGATTAATTGAAGTCAATGTTTTTTGAACATCGATTTTTGGTGCTCCATTTTTCTAACTTTTCAAAGTTTTGCTCGTGGATGCAAAATTTCCATACTCGCAATTTTGTTAAATTATATTGTTAAATGTAGTTAAAATACGATACAAAGTAACTGACGGCACCCACTGTTACGAAATGGTACGGAATAACTGATGGAGTTTTCTAACGCGGTTTGTACTGCCTTCATTGAGCAGACTTGTAAAACTTGATTTTCAGTTCAATTTTATTTATAACTTAATATCGATGTCCACTTCATATTAGTGGTTTTTGCTCACGAATTAAATGTTTGAGATTAGTAAACTAGCCTCGAAACATCGATCATTTTTACACTAATAAAAGTGGATGCAACGTCATGTAACCGACATGGAAATCATAAAATGTAGTCTGTCGTTAGACACGATTTTTTACATGTTCTTCTTCAGTATTGTTGCTGTGGTCTTGAATAGTTTGGAAAAATTAATAAAACGCAAATACGAAAAATAAATAATTTAAAAAACATGGTGGTACATTCACCACATCATTATTTTCGTCTGTCGCTAAGAGCAGATTGGTTCCTAATTTATTCCGCCAGAATCCAGTAACGGTGCAGCAGCACCCAATAGAATCCCTTTAGGCCAGTAGCAATGATCAGAGATTTTTTTTAATTTAATAGAAATGAACTGCAAAATGAAAACAAATTATTATAGTATTTTGAACGAATTACATTGAAAATAATCGTAAACACCGTGATTTGTATAAAATTGATTTCTTTTCCTCTTTCACAGGGATTCAATATGAAAAAAGCCCGAGTAACTCTAGTATTTTGCTAGCAATTTATAACCATAAGTATCACCATTAAGTGTAAGCATTAGGAAGGATGTGAAACACAATGACACAGTTTTCATTTCCTTTTGATAAAACATTTTTTTCTGAATGCAGACTGAACTGCAGACTGTTGCGAAGGTTAAGATCTCCCAGACACTCTCGAAATTACTTTTCCGTAGCATTCTGGCAAGAAAATAAACTTTCACAGCTACCCGAATCTTGACACAACGTTTGCCACTTGCTTGTGAAGAACCACTTATAAGCGATGTGAGTTGGCTGATTCAACTGACGACGAGCCGACCGTCGCTTATCTGATACTGACATCTAATACACTGCTTACGCCGCCGCCGAGCGGCATGTCGAGGCCTCACCCACACACGCAACGGCGCCACCTGACCCGCCGCCGCCGTTCAACATCTTTTCGCCAGAGAGTGTGCACAAGTTTGATACAAATTATGACGATCAAAGACATTGTGAAAACTTACGAGTATATTGATATTGGTTTTTGTATTGATTATACTCATAACCACAATACCGCACAGTTCAGTAGGATATAAAATGGCGGACGGGCAGCGCAAAGCAATAGTACAGCACCTCTCAGTGTTTTCGTAGGCTCTCTGGGCCAGGAACGAAGCGAGTTTCCTCCGTCTTCTACCGTTTTCATTACTCTCATTCATTCATTCATTCATTCATTCATTCATTCAATCACTCCTTCGTACTAATCGCTCACCATTCACTAAGTCATTTCATTCATCCAAAGTCATTCATTCAAAGTCGGATCGTGAACGAATGTTCAGGTACGAAGGCCAGAGATTCCAGGAGAGTGGTGGACCCAGAGGGCAACGAAATTCTCCTTTTTTCTTTTTTTGTTTTGTTCTTTTGGGTTGAGGGGTAATCTCACGAAATATAAGTTGTTCGCATCGCATTCTTAAAGAGAATTCCCATTAAACCCTAACAATGAAATATATTATCTTATAAATAATATGAGACAATATAATATATACATTCATATTTATTTCTTAATTTTAAAGAGAAATCAACATTCTAAAAGTATACTATCATTTTTCTTTAAGAAATTTCTGCGATGAATCTGTAATGCTCTTTCTTGGAATACTCTACAGATGCACCCGGTTATAGAAAGTCTTTTTTTCTCAGTAGTACGAAGTACTTCGAATTTGGGAATACTTAATATAGGAGTAGATCGACAATTGTCAAAAATGTTTTGCCTACATCGTTAAGCTGATGAAA